GACGAAGGCAAGATGGTGCCTCTCTGTCAGCCTTCACTGCCATTTTCCTGAATTATTCTATGGTAGAAATAGGCTGCTTGAATCCTTGCAGCCCCTCCAGCCCCCCAGGACATCTCTCTTTGCTCCCCACCCCCAGAAAACCAGCCCTTATTCACTCAACTGCCATGCTGTCTGGGAATGATGTAAGTTAGGGTCAGTGCAGCGTAGGACCACAAGGTCATTGGCTGGTTTGCAGGGGATGCCGTATGAGGCGAGACTGAGGGAACTGGGTCTCTTCAGCCTGGAGAAGAGGAGACTCAGAGGGGATCTGTTGGCGACATACAGGTATGTGAAGGGGTGTCACACGGAGGTGGGTAGGGACCTGTTCTCCCCTGCAGAGGAAGGCAGCACGTGCTCCAGCGGAGCAAAGCTCAGGCAGCCAAGGTTCCATTTAGACTTCCTGACAGTTAGGACCCCGAGGGTATGGAATGGGCTTCCCCAGGAGGTGGTTGAGGCCCCACCGGTGCGGGTGTTCAAGGACAGGCTGGACATGCACATGGTGGGCATGTCATGAGCGGAGCTGGCTGGTGCCGGAGGTCAGACTGGATGGTCCGGGAGACCCCTTCTGACTTGCTCTGTTTCTCTGTTTCTGTGTTTTCTATGTTTCTAAGTTGTTGTACCCAGAGGGCACCAGATTGGCACAAACTGGGCTTGGGAACCTGCCTGCCATGTGTCTCACCTAAAAGGGCAGAGCTTCAGGTTTAAGCCCGAGTGCTTCTAGTCTGGCCACTCGTGTATTTTCTTCATGATGCGTTTGGCCAACACAATGTCCAGATGCACGTGGGGAAAACAGAACGGCAGGTTCCAAGAGGCAGCCTCTTAGGGTCTTTGCTGCTCCCTGGAGTTCAGAATAAGAAAAGGCTGTTTGCACCTCAAACAGAGCTTTAGTGAGGGCTTCTTATACACAGACGCTCAATTCACACAGAAAATACAGAGGCTCTCAAAGCCTGACCAACGTTCTGCATGAATTAAGGTTGCATTCTATGCAAGTTTAGATGGAAAACATAGAAACAGAGAAACAGAGCAAGTCGTAAGAGGTCTCCCGGGCCATCTAGTCTGACCCCAGCTCCAGCCAGCTCCATTCATGACATGCCTACCATGTGCATGCCCAAAAGGTTTCCATCTCCCAGCAGGCCTCAGCCAGTAGCTGCAGGTCTTTTTTCTGTCTAAGCTTGCATAGGATGCTGCAGGAGTCTCAGAACAAGGCAGATATAAGTAGAGGTGCAGAAGTTTTGAATTTCAACTCGCAGAATTCCTGGCCATTGTCTACCACCTGGCTGGGACTTCTGGGAAATGAAGTCCAACATTCTGGAGATCTGTTTTCTGCCTGTCTCATCCTAGAACATTTCCCATATTCATCTGCAATACTCAGCTTTTCTCAACAGAGAAATCAAATTTGAACAAGTCAAATTATCACATTACCATTGGAAAAACCCAGAACACAAGTAAATGGCTAGTTTGCAAGCTGTTGATCAGGTGACACATGCTAGGCTTGGCCTGCAAACAGATGACTCAGAACTTGCAAGCTCAAAATGCACAATGAAAACATTTATTTGCACAGGAATGATAAATCAGGCATACCATACAGCCCAGAAAAAAAAATGAGAACTAGAAACTTGAGATGGGCAAACACTGGGACAAGCAGCAGTTCACTCTTGTTTGAAATTTGCTAGCTCCAGGCGGAAATGTTAGCCCTGCAAACTTTCCAAGTGTGAGCAAATAGAGAAGCCATGTTGAGACTTCCACCTTGGTACCACTTCATTCTGTGCAGTGGGAGGATTTAAAACATTTCCTAGCAATTGTGGGAAAGCACTTTTCCTCATTGCCACCCAAACAATTCTCGACTCTTCCTTGAAAATATTCTCAATGGGTTATAAATTCACACACACAACTCTTCCTACTAGCAGAGCTTTGCCTTTCTGCCCAGAACACTGGTATGACTGCATTCCACCTTCCCATGGCCACAGCAATTTCAAGCTGGAGAAGAAAATGCAGTTAGCTTCTTGTAAAACAAACAAAAATCTGTTGAACTTCCTTATTCCAATTTATGCTGGCTCTCAAATGCATTTATTATAATCAAGTTTCCGCTTTAGCACAAGGATCTGAATGTGATAAACATCTCAAGTTTAGGCTTGATTGGACCAACTTCTCTGAAATTTCAATTTCCAGTGTCTAATATGTAAAATGTGAAGTGTCTGGGTTCAGGAAGGAAGCCATGCCTTTTTTTCTAGTCCAAGATATGAATAAGTTCCCAAGTTCCTCTCTCTCCACCATTTCACAACTCCAAATGCTCTTAACAGCAGCATGCCACAATGCTGACATTTGATTCCTGTGCAATTCTAGAGAGACCCAATTTACTATTTATTTATTTATTTATTTATTTATTTATTAAAACATTTCTATGCCGCCCCATTCGCCGAAGCCTCGGGGCGGCTCACAACATTAAGTTAAAATACAAGCATTAAGTTAAAACATTAACTTAACATAATATTAAGTTAAAATGTTTGTAAAATACAAACATTAAGCTAAAATACAAAAAATAACAATATAAAATAAGTCGCCCTGGCCAGATACTAACCTCTGCCTTCCCCATAGACACAAATTCTTCACAGCAGAGACAAGCAGAGAGAAAGCCAAATTACAGATGGGATGGAAAGCTGGATGGAGGCAGGTGCTCTCTTCCTTTCCACACACTTGAATCAGCCCCAGGTTTGGAGAAGATTTCCAGAATCTGAGCTGCATTGATCAGTAAGGGTGCAATCCTACATATATTTAGACAGAAGAAGGTCTACAACACCCTGAAGGCTGCATCTAATGAAATGCATATGAAAACTGAAAGCAATAGCACAACCAGCAAATGTTCCAAAATATCAACAGACAATGGCAACATCTCCAACACAGTTGCAGTTTCAATGCAGACTATAAAACATACTGGGGAAAAGCCAAAGGAAACAAATACAGAAATCAACACCACCACTATGGTGGGGAATGTGGTATTTCACGGATTTCTGCTTGTTCCACATCTGGGAAGTGTGTGCATATGTGTGTGTGTCTAAGGCCACCTTATCTGATACATGCATATTGTTTAACTGTTTATTGTGTCTTATTAGTGCTGTAAGCCACTTTAATTCTGTTTGTTTGTGTAGGATAAATTAAAGCTTTTCCACACAAGGCTGGGTATTGTGCAGTCCTGACACTCATGGTCCTTTGTATGAACTTTGCATGAAGTTGCCATTCTCCAAGGATCGCAACAATTGGCGACAATTTCTGACACTTTTTTAGACTGAGGAATGTGTGGCATTAATAGAGACTGTGAAAAACTCGAATATTTTTGCAGTTCTGCTGTACGGCAGCATCACCCTGTGGTTGCGCCATGGCACATATAGAAAAGCAGAACCCCCCGGGGGGGGGGCAAACACACATGAAGAGGAAAATGTTAATACCATGTCAGGGCAAATGAGCAGAATAATATGGGTGCCTAAAGCTTGACACTGTAAGAACAGCTTTAGACTTAAGGTAGGGGCCTTGGTTTTCTAATTAGTTTTCTAATTAGGTGTTCTAATTAGGAAACCAAGTCTTACTTCCCACCTACACCTTAGATATGCTAATATAAGGCTATCTTGAAACATCTTCCTTTTGGGTCATTTGTCTTAATCTATTCAATCCTTTTGTTTTTACTCTCAAGTACCTCTAGCAAACTACCCATGTGATTTCTCCTCACTTCAAATGGTGTATTTGACTAACATATTATAAAAGCGTTCCTGTACAGACTCCTTATTTGTTGTTTTATCAAATATGTCTTGATTCATGCATTTATTCCTTTGTATAAACAATAAATGTTCTTTAGATTGTACACCGCCAACTCTTGACACCCACAAAGAATGGAAGGAGAAGTCTTGAGAAAGAGATGGGCTAAAAGCTTTGTGTAGAAAAGTACTGAAGACACCACTCCCTCTGCTACCAAACTCAGCACTGGGGATTGTTAAATTTAATATCTATTCTGTCCAATCGCCAAAGCTCTCTGGATGGCTTACAATGCATAAAATACAAACAAGGACAATTTCCTAGAAAGGTCACCCTGCAAAATTTAACACCAAACTTAAACCAGATATAAAATGCTATCATAGCTTAATCTTAAGACTTGTTTAAGCAGCTAGCAAAGCCCCTGCTGTCTACAGGGATGGACGCTTTATTTATTTATGTATTTGTTTATACTTCCAATTATATGCTGCCCTCTACAAGGTGGCTTAATAGAAAACGAAGCAAAGTGAAGCTGCTGAGAAACCAAAGGGCAGAGGGGACACAAGATGAAGTATAAAAACCCCAAGGGGACAGTCCCTTGCCCACGCATGACAGCTCAGTGAAAACTCCGTATATACAGTAACCAGGGCATGTTTCCGGTTATCTGGATGAGAAAAGAAAAATAAAGCGGGAAATCGCAGTGAATGAAGTGTGAGGTGGAGAAAGGATTTGCTTCTTTTGTTTTGATTTTTCTTGGCAATCCTTTGATGGGAATTATTGGAACGTGCTGTTCTTTAGAGAATTGTATTGGCTTCATGTGTTTTTTAAGCGTGCACTGGCCCTCCTCCGCTATGAAGCAGGGCCCGAAACGGGGTGATTTCAGGCGGGCGACGCAGTGGCCCAGCGCCCACCAGCTGCGGGGCAAGGGGGGCTGCTGCGCCCGCGCCCGGCGAGCGGGTTTGCCGGGGGGACCCGCCCCGCGCGGCTCGCTCTCTTGCGGAGGAGAGTCGCGGGCCGGGGAGCGCGCAGAGACGCGGCGGCGAACCTCCCCCCGCCGCGCCGCCGCCGGCGCCCTCCCATTGGCGCAGCGCACTTGCCGCGGCTCCGCCTCGGGCGCTCGCAGTGCGCGCGGGGCGCCGCGCCGAGCCTCTTGTGAGCGCGGCATCGGAGCACCGGAGGCGCGCGGCGCGGGCGGCTGGCGGGGCTGCTGGAAGGCGGGCGAGCGGGCGGGCGCCTGCACTCCCCCTCCGCGGGGCGAGCCGCGGGGCGAGAGCAGGAAGGAGGAAGGCGGAGAGCCGAGCGGGCGCCGCGCTGCTGGTCCGGAGAGCGCGCAGGTGGGTGGCCAGAGAGGGAGGGAGGGAGGGAGGGAGGGAGGCGGGGGGCGCGGGCCCCCTTTGGGACTGAAGCAGCGCCGGGTGTGTGGGGGCTCCCGGGAGGGAACGTGCGGGTGTGTGGGGGCTCCCGGGAGGGAACGTGTGCAGCTCCAGCTTGTGGAAAGCGGTGAGATCCGTGCTCCCCAGCCTTACCCCTTAAGGCCTGACCGGGGGAATTGTGTTGGACTACAACTCTCACGATCCGCAGCCAGAAGTTGTTGGACTGCAACTGGTGCCCTCGCATGGTTTGGACTACAATTTCCGTAATCCCCCAAGCAGCAAGCGTTGGACCACAGCCTGGTTCCCTACAGGTGCGCCGGACTACAAGCCCCATCATTCACTAGTCAACCCAGCTTTATAGGAATTGTAGTCCCGTGGGAACCGGGAGGCGCCCTGGATGCGGAAGGCTAGGAAGGGTGCCTGCCTGTTGCCAGCTCTGGCCTTGGCGCAAGTGATAACTTGCGGGTTCCCCCCGGGACACACGGAGGAGGAGGACTCTCCTGAGAGGCGCAGAGGCATGTTTAAAAGGAGGCCGTGCATGCTGCATTTCTGCGGAGCTGTTGCCAGCGAGATCCTAGATTGGCTTTCCTTCTGGGAATACATTGGGAATGCTCACTCTGGGCCAGTCACAGATGCCCAGCCTACCTCACAGGGTTGTGGTGAGGATACAGTATGCCTTGGGTTCCTCATGAGAGAGAAAAAGTGGGATATAATGCAATATGATAATGATAATGATAATGCATTTGGGTTTCAGAAGGCTGTTGATGTGCGCTAGGATACATTGGGGAGATAATGCTGAACTCGAATGTGATTTTCTCCCCTGCTTTTGCAAACCATGGATTAAAAAAAATCAAAGAAATGGATGCAGGAAATCATGTTTCCTTAATTTTACAAAATAGATATTGGCTGGGTCTGGATGATGAATCAGAAAAGAAACCACAGTGGCTTCTTTTTCCTGCCCAGGATGGTCACACTTATTTTTATTTATTTATTTAGACAGCTTATATGCTGCCCCCTTCGCATAAGCCTCAGGGCGGCTTACAGTCATTAAAATCCTGCCTATAAATACAAAAAAAAAATACATAGAATAAATAAAATACATAAAATATTGAAAACAGCTTGGTCAGTTTAAAATCAATAAATAAACCTTAGCAATTAAAATAGTGTTTAAATAAAAAGGTCTTGGCCTGGCGCCAAAAAACAAATAACGACGGTGCCAGGTGGACCTCTCTGGGGAGCGCATTCCATAGGTGGGGCGCCACCGCGGAGAAAGCCCTCCTCCGAGTACTCACTCTCCTAATATCCTTCATGGAGGGTTCCCAGAGAAGGACCTCTGCCACCAATCTCAAGGGGCGGGAGGGCATATATGGATATATATGAATTACACGTTATGAATTACACATTATGTAATTACACGTTATGTAATTACATAGTTATACCTTCTACCAGCTTGGGCTGGTGGCCCGGCTGTACCCCTACCTTCAGGAGCCTATGCTTTGATAATCTCTGAACTGGATTACTGCAATGCACTCTATGTGGGGCTGCCCTTGAAGACCATTCAGAAGTTGCACCTGGTGCAGAATATGGCAGCCAGATCAATAACTGGGACCCACAGTTTGGAAGACCAGCTCTGGCCCGCTTGAATTGGCTACCTGTACGACACTAGTCTCAATTCAAGGTTCTGGTTTTAACCCTTAAAGTGCTACATAGTTTAGGACTACAGTACCTAATGATTTATTCATGTTATATTTTATTTTGTTGTATTTCATTTATGTAAGCCGTCCTGAGGCTTTCACGACAGGACGGCATATAAATATTTTAAATACATACGTACATACATACCTGTTGGAGCACCTCTTCCAACCACTTAGCCTCTGGGGCCTTCTTCTGATCTCCAGTTCCAAGGGAGGAGCAGAGGGTGGCAAAAAAGAGGGGAGGACTTTCTTGGTGGTGGCCCTCATCTATGGAATAACCTCCCCCTGCAGCCCGGATGATGCTGAACCTGCAATTGTTTTGGCACCAGGTTAAGGTGGCCCTTTTTTCCTGAGGTTTTAAAAACTTGCTTGGTCACCCAGTAGCTTGAGGGGGATCACTCCATGTTTCATAGTCTCTCTCTGTCTCTTTCATTCTCTCATTTTGTGTTTTTTTAATTAGGGTTAGGCTTTTTATCTTTTATTATCTGTTTTTAGCTGTTAAACTTTTTAATATGTTACCTGCTTTTCTGATTTTTATTGTGCTTTTTTCATCTGTTTTTATGGGCTCTGTAAAGCATCCAGAGAGCTTTGGCTGTGGAGTGGTATAGAACGGAAATAGCTGCAAGAAATTTACCTACTTGCCCTGACCGCATGCCGCTTCCCACATTGCCTGGATCTCGTAAGGTGTGCAAGTCAACCCTTGTCGTGCTGCGGGATTCTGAGATGGTTTTGACGCTGCCCGTGCCATGCATTCAAAACTTCTGATGACTTGGAAAGTTGCGTGCTGTGAGGGTAATCAGATAAGCCACGGAGCATGACCAGACAAACCCAGCCATTTGGTCTCGGAGGTCTTCTTTAGGCAAAGAAAAAAAGAAGATGAGACAGGTGGCACACCCCAAGCAAACCCAGTCCTCGAATAAAATACGTAGTCCCCCCGTCTTCCCACCTGTCCCCACCTGGTCGGGTTCATGTCTCAGGTGGGAACTGCAGTGCAAGGAAGGTTATCCAAATGCAGCACTGAAAGTATCCGCAGGACTTTTCTGTAACCTTCAAGCTGCTCAGCAGTTTATTATTTAGGGTGTGATCCTGTACATGCTCAGAAAGAGAAAAGTCCTACAACATGTTGGCTAGAGAATGTTGGGACTTGTAGGATTTTTCTTTTCTGTTGAACTGTGCATAGGATTATGGATCTGTGGAACTTAGCTTTCAGTGAAGGATGCGTCAGACTTCAGCAAAGGTATAAAAGGAGGACTCGAGTGATATTTGCAGTGAACCAGTACCTTGAATTGAAAACTCCACATTGCTCTTGTCAGAAGGTTGCAGGGTTTGGTCTGAGAACAAAGAAAAGGGAAGGCACTTGTGCGTTGTGTGAGCTGCATGAGAAACCCACCCTCTGGCTCTTATCCTAGCACAGTGACCCCAGAAAGGAAACCAGCAAGCTCTTGATTGGCTTCCTGCAAAATGAATGTCATTGTTTTGTGTTTGTGGCAGCTTTTCAGAGTCTCAAAAAACTTAAAAGGAAAACGAAAGCTTTCTTTGGGTCAGATCAGATGTGCTTATCCCATTAAATGTGGCCAGGAACCTCTTCTTTGGCTAGATCGTGAACTTTCCTGGCACTGTAAAATAGCAGCATTTTGTCGTACTGATTGCGTGCGTTCTCCCATGTGGTTCTTTGACAGTGAAAGGGTAATGTCTGGAAGGTGAGTAAGACCATCTCCTCCCCTCACAGGAATGCCTGTACTTGAACATATTAATAGGGGCTTTGCTTTCTCTTCTCTTCTCTTCTCTTCTCTTCTCTTCTCTTCTCTTCTCTTTTCTTTTCTTTGGGTTTCCTGGCAGAGCATCGGTTAGGGTGTTATCCTGTGCATATTTAGAAATAAAAAAGTCCTACATGTCAGCCGGAGAATGTTGGGAGTTGCAAGATACTTCTCTGTTGAAACATGCATAGGATTTCCCCTTAACTATATTGGGTACATACATAGGACTTTACCGTCCATAGAACTTAACTCCTGGCCAAGGACTCTGTTTGCATGATGCGATAACCCATGGTGGTGAGTTACCCAGGATGGGCCCTTGTGTCGTGTGAACCCAAGGTCTGTGTAAGTACATTGCATGTAGATGGAGATCCACCGTGGGCTGTCATGTCATCTGAATTTAAACTGCTTCCTGCAGGGCGGCTCATTTTCTGCGGGGTGGCCACCTTGATAAGCCCCCCTTTCAACCCACGCTGGGATATCATGCCATCCGAACCCAGGGGAGCGATTTCATCATGCGCTGGGAGCACTAGCCAGCGTAGCCAATTGGCTATCACAGCCAGAGGAGAGAGAAGCCTTGCCACTTTTGGCAGTCCTGTGCTTTTGCCACCAGGGGCAGCCCCTTCCCTGAGGCCCACGTGACGCTTCGAGGCAAGTGGTTTGCTGCCCTTCTTCAATGAAAGAGCAGCCGTGAAATTGTGCGAAGGTGTTTGTAATTTTTAAAAATTATTTTGTGGGTCTTTTCCAAGCTTGTCTGGTATTTGCAATCCTGCCTGGTTAATTTTCGTGGCTGTTTCAGCTGTCACAGGAAGAGAGAAAGTAGGTAGCTAGGTGAGGCTGCACAGAGGCTAATTATTGTGCAGTGATCAGAGACCAATTGCTGAGTTATCAGCTAAGAAGTCCTGGTAAAGAGGGGGAAAGCCTCAAAAATTGCTCAGAAAAGTGTGGGTCAGTATCTCCCACGTAGTAATATAAGCCTCTCAGTTTTAAATGTTGAACTGACATTTCTCAGTCTCTACCACCATTTTGACACCATTTCCCCAATTTTCCCGCTACTCCAGAAGAAAGTGACTGGTGTTCCCTGCTTTCCCTGGTTCCTTTTGGAGCCATCTTCCCCAACGTTTTTCCAGAGGCATTTGGCCTGCAACACCCAGAATTCCCAGACAATGGTCCTGCTGGATGGGAATCCTGGGAGTTTATTTCTTTATTTAATACTGTATTTTTGTATTTTTAATTTAATGTTTATGTTTTTGATTTATACTATAATTATTTTAACTTACTGTTGTAAGCCGCCCTGAGGCTTCGGCGAATGGGGCGGCATAAAAATGTTTTAATAAATAAATAAATAAATAAATAAAATAAAGCTTTTATATGCAGTCCCTTATGCATAGCATCTCAGAACAGCGTACAATCATTAAAATCAAAATACAATAAAACAATCCAGTATAATAAATAACATATAACCAGTAAAATAGATTAAACTGAAAGCGACTGTTAAAACATTAAGATACTA